CCTCTTGGATTAAGAAACAGGAATGCATGGAGGAATGGGGCTCAGAGGTCACGTGTGCTGGCTCCCGTGTCCAGCAGAGCTGCAGCCTGGGCGCCACATTGCATCCCCACCTGGAGCGGCGTAGGCCTGGCAGCCAGGCACACCCTGGGGCTGCGTAGGGGGCAGCTGGACACCCCAGGGAGTGTGGCTGGGCCAGAAACAGCCTCCAGGTGGTCAGGGACACAGAGAGCCAGCCTGCGGGGAGCCGAGAGGCCTCACAGGCTGGCTGAGCTTCTCCCTGTGACCCTGCCCCTCTCTACACCCCCAGAACGCCTTCGGCCTGCAGGTGCCTTTCTTCTTCTTTGCGGCCATCTGTCTGGTGAGCCTGGTGTTCACAGGCTGCTGTGTACCAGAGACCAAGGGCCGCTCCCTGGAGCAGATTGAGTCCTTCTTCCGTACGGGGAGGAGATCCTTCCTGCACTAGGTCATGACCGCCTGGACCTATACAAACAGCACCCCAAGACCAGGAGGTGCAGCAGACCTGCTTCCCATGGTGCTGCCTACACACACTGAGACCTGCCAGGGAGGAGGTGGCATGGGCCACAGGAGGGCATACACAGCGCCCAGGGACAAGGCCTTGCTGGGTGACCTCAGGCCTGGCTCCTTGCTCACATACAAGGCACCTGCCACACAGGACTGTGTCAAGGACAGAGAACAGGGCCAGAGGTGACTAAATGGTTCATACAAGGACATGGTCCCTTCACCCTGTCCTGAGCACCTGGCCACCATCAAGCCTCTCGGACTCTGCCGGGAACACTACAGACTTCAGAGGCCAGGGCACAGTGTGGCCACTCCACTCCAGCCCAACCTCGGAGGACAAGGGCTCCCATCTGCAAACTGTTCACAGTATTAATCACAATAAAGAAATGGGGCCTGCAGCCCTAGGTAGGAAGGAGTGGGTCTCCTCCGGGGGAGCCCTGCTGGGGGTCTTGGGGAGCGTGTCACACCAGTACAGTCCTGTGCCCGATGGCAAAGGACTGATAATAATCAGTAGCTGTGGCTAAAGTCATGGGGCAGGAGGTAGGAGGGAGATGGCCAAGTGCAGGAAGTACAGAGGGTGTGACAGGGCGCATCCAGGAAGAGCTGCTTCCTGGGCACCATCTGGCTTGGGCCGGGCCCCGGGCAGCAGGCAGCCCTGTAGGGAGTGGCTCTCCACATCAGGAAGCAGCTCAGGTAGGCAAACCTGAGGTGGGTCACCTCAGCCCTGATGGTGGGGGGCAGCTGTCACCAACACAGGGCAGGATCTCATGGGGATGGGGTTCCCCCACTTCCTGGGATGGGGCAGGACCTGGGGGCAGGGCTTGCAGGCTGCGGAGCAGCTGGGGGACCAAGGTGCCAGGGAACTGGTGAGGGAATGCCTCCACCCAGCCACTGGGCCATGCAAGCCTGCTGACTTGGGCTGAGTTGCACTGTGGGCTCCTTGAGGAACAGCCTGGCCCTCAGCAGTAATAGCTCAGGTCAAAGCTATGCCTGTCCCCTGCCTTGTGGGCAGGCAAACAGGGCAGGACTGGGGACTCTACCTGCTGGGGAGCTGGGGTGTTCACTCGATGCTCAGGCCCCAAGGACTAAGCCAGGGAGCCCCTGGAGCAGGCCCCATGTGTCCCATGGAAGCTGTGTCCAGACCGTGGAGTCTGCAGCCCCACAGGGCCTGTTTGCTGAGCCAGACCAGAAGCAATGGCCATCTGTGTAGGGCTGTGAGCCCCAGTGCCAGTAGTCAGGAGCAGGCTCAGCCACTGTGGAGAAAGGGGCAGGTGCAAGGACACGCGTGGGGCCTCCTCTCCCAGGCCCGGCCTCAGCCTCCCCACAACCCTCATCACAGCTCTCCCTCCACAGTCTCCGCCAACTTCGCATCCGCCTGCTGCTTCTGCTGCTGGATCTGGGCATAGGAGATGGCGTCACCCCTGGGAAGAGAGTGGAGGAGCCCTAGAATGGTGGGTTCCCACAGGGCACAGCCCAGGTGCCTCCCAGGCAGAGCCCACTGGGCCTTCTGGTTCCCTGGATGGAGGCCACTCCCAGGGGCACAAAGGCTGCCCAGATGCCGGGCTCCAGGGTCTGCAGGAACAGGGTGACTGGCAAGATGCTCAGGGCACATCCAGGAAGGGACGAGGCTGGGCCAGGCAAGGTGGGGTCACCCAGAGCGTCCCCTGAATTCTCCCACCTCCATCCCTAGAACACTGATCAGTCACAGCACTGTCTGGGCTTCCATGTCCATGCAGGGACCACTTCCCCCACCAAGGCCAGGGGACCCACAGCCCCCGCCCTGTAGGGGCCGCAGACGCACTTTTTGCCCAAGGCGGAGAGTCCATACAGCACCCCGGTGGCAAAGGCAACGGCATTGCCCAGCAGCGTGGTCAGGGTCAGGCTCATGATGATGGGGATGACAGCCATCCTGGGGGACAGACAGAGGTCAAGGGTGCGCTCCCGCCCCACAATGCCCCTGGGCTCCCTGCTTTACCCGGCTCCTTCCCAGACAACTGGGTTAGGAAGAAGCCCTGGAGGTCAACCAGACAGGTTCACAGCCGGCTTCAGAAAGTCCTCGAATGCCCCTGAGCTTGATCTGAAAGCTTACAAGAGTTCTGACAGGCCTGTGGTCCACAAGGAGTTAAACGGCAGCAAGCTGGTCTACGCAAAGAGACTGTGCCCTGTGAATCTGGAGCCTGCTCCGGCCTCAGAGCCCTCTGCTTGGGGTGAGACCTCTAAGAGGCACAGTGTGCCAGCCACTTAACATGACCCTGGGCTATCACATGCACCAGATAAATGCTCTTTGCTAGTACAGGAAAACCAGGGAACCAGGTCCCCACTGCAACCTCATGGAACTCAGGCCCATGGCTGAGGGAGCGCCACCTGGTGGTGGGGCCATCTCGGCTTTAAAAGCCCTGCAGTCCCTTCTTGATCCTGGCACCTGCCAACCAGAAGGGGCCTCTGCCCCATGGCTTCCCAGCCAGGCTCTTGGCTGCGGATGGGACTCATGGCCACCACTCCATCTGCATTCCCGTCTGTCTCAGGGGACACCAGTTCAGGAGATCCTCAGGTACCAAAAACACTTTCGAGTCCCATTCAGTAGAAACTCGACTTTGAGGGACCCAAGTTCGATCCCTGGTACCAAAAAAACAAACAAACAAAAGAAACAAAGTGTTTGAAAGATTAAAAAAAAAAAAGAAAGAAAGAAACTCGACTTTGAATTTTGAGTCCTGATCTTTCCCTGGCCTAGTGACATGCCCAGTGTCACATCAAGACACAGGATGAGGGGACAGTGAGGGCTCTCAATGCATTTGAGGCTGGCTAGGCTGAGCAGTGGTGTTTGGGAGGGGAGTCATACTCAACTTACAGTATTTTCAACAATGCGTTTATCAGGGTGTAACCCCATCAATACAGGAGCATCATTAACAGAGGGATAATAAAAACCATGAGGAAAGGGGAAGATCATAGCAGGAAGAACCTGTGTGTCCAAACAAAATGAAAGGCAAACTACAGGCTGGAGAAGTATGTGCAGGAAGTATAGCAAAGGAGTACGAAATCTTTAATATAAAAAACATCTATGACCTGCTTAAGCAAACACTAGGACTCTAATAGATTGAAAAGGTAAAGCCAGAAAACATTCAAGTACGAAAATGCAACTAGAACACATGGGAAAATACTCTACCCCTTATATAACAAATACAAATGTAAAAATCATCCCCGGCACAGGGCACCAGGGGTGGGGGACACTCAGAAGGCCCCTTTGCGAAGCATCTGAACACATATATTAAAATCTTTTTCAAGGGGTTGGGGATTTAGCTCAGTGTTTCCACCGCCTGCCTTGCAAGATCAAGGTCCCAAGTTCAATCCCCAGTTCCAAAAAAAAAAAAAAATCTTTTTCATGATCGTCTTCTTTGACCTACTAATTCCACACCCGGAAGTAATCCTAAGGAAGTCATCATAAACATGCACATTTTAGCAGGGAAATGTTGGCCATGGCTCGATTAACATCAGTTAAACAAAGTAAGAAAAGAATGAATAAATATTCTTATCATTACAAATAACGTCATAAAGTCTTTGGGGGTAATATAAAAATGTTTATATCATGACATTAAGTGAAAAAAGCAGGTACAAACAACATGACTGATAATGGTGATAACCGCGTTAAGAACAAGTTTAAGGAATGTCTGAATTCGCATGGGAAGGGCACACACCAGAAGGGCGTGGGGCTCTGAGCAACACTTTTCTATTTTACAAACTGATCTAGTGATTTTTGAAATTACATACTTAAAACCCCAAAGGTTTGTTGAGGCCCACTGGTGGGCACCCTGGGTCTGGAATTCTTGGAGATTTAGACACCGCAGAAACCGCTGGTCTCTGCAGCCCCCAGTGCCTGCTGGAATCTATATTTGTTTTTTAACCCCTGGTACTGAGGATTAAACCCAGGGCTTTCACACTGAGCTTGTATTTTCCATAGCCCTTGTATTTTTTATTTCGGGACAGGGTCTTCCAATTTGCTACATTTCCCAGGCTGGGCTCAACTTGCAATCCTCCTGCGTCAGCCTCCCAGAGTGCTAGAATTACAGCTATGCTCTACCACCCTGGCATGAATCTATCTTAAAGACAGATGGGTAACAATAATAAATATTGCTGCTCGGCCAGCCCCCTGTGTATTAAATTTGCCTCGGAAGTAGTTCGGGGCCCTGACTCCGAAGTAAATGCCACACAGTTGTTGCAAACAGGAAAATGAAAGCAAAGCATATTCAGAGAACAGCGATGTTCTCTGCTCCTCGGCTCCTTCATGTGAAGACACCAAGGCCGAGCGCTGGCCTTGCGGGGCTGCACAGGAGCACACCGTGCAGACCAGCCCGCCCCACACCACCCAGCCAAGGGCCGACTCCTTCCTGCCCCTGCACACAATGCTTTCACCGTGTGGATGACTGCAGCTGCAGGCTGAAGGCCCAGCGGGGCCACATGCTGCAGCGCTGTCACCCTCTCTCTGGCCCTCTGCTCCCCGTACTGCCCCCCGGCCGACACCTGCCCGCCTGTCCCGGCCCTGCCCAGCAGCCCCTCACCCGCAGTAGAAGACAGCCTTCTGCCAGGAGCACAGCTGGTCCACCCTCTCGGCCACCTTGTTTGCAAACTCCACAAACTGGCAGCAGAAGGGCGCCTCACACAGCAACAGGATGAAGGCGTTCATGCTGCAGAGACAGGTGGGAGAGAGGCGAGGCAGGGATGGAAGCAGCCCCGGTGCCACAGGAATGCCACCCTCCCCACCCTGGTCAGGCCGGGGCACCCATGTGTGCCCTCAGAGCCCCTGCACCTGTAGCCCTTCCTGGGCCAAACACCCTTGGAGGGACACGCTGGGGCATCTGTGTCTGTGACACAGAGGGACAGGGCCCTTGCTATAGCAACAGCCACCAGGAGCACCTGGCAGCTCTGCCAGCTGTTAGTGCTGTAGCCATGGTTGCCAATATCGCCACCACAGTGAAGGCCACGACAGGAGGAGTGCAGAGAACGGTGTCAGCCACCCACAGTCACAGACGGCTGACCACGCCCAGTGCCATGTGGACTCCTGGGCTGGGGACACAGTGACATGGGAAGCCCAAGAGGGAGACAAAGGTGCTCAGAAGTCCTTGTGTCCCAGTGCCTGTCAGCTGAGCAGCCAAGCCACTGACACAGGGCATCTGTCTGGTGTGGTGGCAGGGAAAGTCAGTGACCAACCTGATCCCTCGCCCCGGCCAGGCCTATCCACGCCAAGCTGGGAGGAAAGTGTCACTGACACCTGTCCAACAGGTGTAGCTCAGGATGCGCCCATCCCCAGCACCGCCCACCCACCTCCAGGCCAGGTAGCCCTTCCCAGCGTGCACCTCCAACTCTGCCTGGACCTCCCGAGGTGGGCCTTCCATCAGGGTCTGGAGCTCAAGGGCTTTGACTGAACCCAGGTAAGGGCCTGGGGGCCACTCCCAGGCCCGGTCCCTCACCAGGGACCCGGGCACGGTGGGTGTAGAAAGGAGACCCACACTCCAGCCAGAGAACCACAGCCTCAGACTCCCCCAGGACAGGGCGCCAAGCTACTCACATCATCCACACGCCAGCTGCGATGTTCAGGGGGTGGATGGTTATGCAGCTGAAGAGGCCGGAAACGGCACAGGCTGGAGAGCGGAGACAGCAGGTGTGAGCGTGCACCTGCACACCCTCCTTCGGTCATCTGAAGTGGCATCGGGCGGCCACTTAGGGGAAGGGCCAGTCCCCAGCCCACACAAGGCAGCAGCAGGGCCACCTCCGGGCCTCAGAGGGCCTCCCTCTGACCCCAGCTGTATCCACACCCATGCCACAGGGTGGTAAGGATTAGGGCGGGGCCAGGACTCTGCCCAGATTGGTCTCAGTGAGGGCCAGCTGTCACTACACGCCGGGCTGGCCACAGGAAGTGTCTGCCTCTTCGGGAGAAGGGTAAGAGCCAAGGGACAGCTCCCTTCCTCCTTCCGGCCAGTTCTCTCTTACACGCGCGGGTGTGCCCGAAGCCCGCCACCCTCGGCTGGACACCAAGGGGCGAGGACAAGGCTTCTCCATGCTCTGAAGGTGGAGCCTGGCAGTCCTCCCTCCCTGTTCCCACTGGCTGCCCACACACAGCTGCTGACAGGCGTCACCAGGAACTCGGGAGCTGGCTGCTAGACAGGAAGCACGTCCAGGCTCTGGCCAGGGTGGGCTGGGTGCTGGCCTGCAGAGGCAGCAATTAGCATCAGGTCATTAAACTTGCAGCAGCTCCCTGCACCTGATCCTCCAGCAGGGCCCGGAATCCTGCTGTTTTCCATCTTCCTGTGTAACCCTACACCGGCTGCAGGCCATGGAGACCAGGTGAAGTGACCCAGCCAGAGAGAGGCTGTCCTCACGTGCCCAAGGACTCCATACTGTGGGGCTCCAGCTGGTACAAGGCCTGGGCGTCCTTAGCAACATCTGCCTCAGGCAGAAAGGCTCCGGGGCTGCAGGCACGGGGAAGAGCCCTCCGCCCACACGTCTGGAACCAGCCTCACTTCAGAACTTGCAGAGATCACCAGACTGCAGCTGTAACCCACCCCACTGACCTCCCGGCCAGCCCTGGGGAATCCGGGTCTCAACCCAGACCACCAGGCTCCACCAGGAGGCTGTCAATTCCTAGGCTGGAGGGCGTCCCTTGGGGTCTCTAGTCCTCGTCCTCCCCATGAGGCACCCCCACTAGGCCCCGGTGTCCAGAAGCCCAGGGACCAGGGTAGCTGCTTTCCCAGCTCCCTGGGCAGATCCCCATGGCAGGGGAGGGCCATCTATCTCAAAGAGGCCAGCCGGGTGCCCAGCCCCATAGGAATACCTGTGTCGGCTCTAAAGCATCTGCATGTGTGCCTTCCACCCGGGTGTGGGCCTGGTCCTCATATAACAACAGCCCCAGGGGCAGGTGCCCTGACCTTAAGCCTCCCTGTGGCCCCAGCACAGCACTCGGGCTTTGAGAAGCACAGGGCTGGATGGGAGTCAGCTGGGCCACCCATCAAGACCATGGGAGGGTGACAGCCTCGGGCCACGGTCAGAGCCTTCCCTCTTCACCTCTTACCACTGTCCCCTCGGCACCGTCCACTGTAGTCACCGGGAAGCAGCTAAGTACATTCGAGAGGACCTGGCCTCAACCCCTAGGTGCTCCTGAGTCGAGACCCTGCCTCTGGACCGGGCATTTAGCTCAGTGGCGCCACATCTGCCTCACAAGTGCAAGGTCCTGAGTTCAATTCCCAGCACCAGAAAGGAAAAAAAAAACAAAAAAAACCCAAAACCAAAACACCTGCCTCTGGAAGGAGCCACGGGCCAGGGCAGGGCACACCTCACCTGCCCCTGAACCTGCGGCTCCTTCCGCTGGGGCGATAGGTCTGCCCCGCCCAGCCCCAGCCCCCGTGCCAGGTGGGCATGGGAATCCTCGGCAACCCTGCTGCTCGGGCTCCAAGAACTGGCAGTGTGAGGCGGCCAGGAAGGGGAAACAACCACTCGTTGGACTCTTTAACGGCCTGGGTCCCTAGGAACCGCGGTAGTGGTGAGTCTGGAAGGAGGAGTGGCCAGGAGAGCCGACCGAGAGAAAGCCCAGAGCTGGGCCCCTACCCTGGCCCTCAGCAAACTTCCCGCCGGGGCCACACCCGCACCCCACACAGTGGACTGTGCTGCCAGAGGCGAGGGGGCGCTGCGGTCCCACCCTGGTCCAGGTGAGCATCGCCGG